CGGCGGAGCTTCTTGTTTCAGGAAACACCGGGCGTCGTTGCTGCCCCCTGAGGGGAGGGCGATTCTGGGCTGCGCGATTGGGGGACTTTGTGGCTTTGGGTGGGTGGGTGGGAGCGAGGATGGACGGAGTCTGCGAAGCGGGGCTTGCCTGCCCTTGCTGGCTGCCTCTGCTTCCTTAGAGGCGAGGAAGGGGGCTCATCAGGACCAAGGGTGAGTCTCCCCCTCAGTTTCCCCTGAAAGATCTTCCGTCGCTTTTGCCTTCTCCCTATGTCTCCCTATGTCTTCCCTCTGTTAAAATCCCCCACACACACACACACTTATTTTCAGGCGGATAGATTTCGTGTCCGAGCTTTCTCACATGACAGTGGGACTTCCTCCCCCCCTAAAAACAGTTAAATAAAGAAAAAACAATACATCCTCATGCAAGAACTTTTCTGCTTCTGATTACCCCCATGCTTACAAGTTGCAAAGGAAACACAGAAGCAGGGAAGCGGCTGCCCAGCTCCGGAGCTCCACACCATTTTTTTTTCAGAGGGAATCTGACTCGAGTATAAGCCGAGGGTTTTTTTTTTTTCAGCACAAAAAATGTGCTGAAAAACTCGGCTTATACTCGAGTATATACAGTAAATAGAATGACTAAACAGTTATGGCAAATAAAAGCTTGTTACTTTCTTTGTACTACGTTCCCAAGCATTCCATAACTGGAGTTCCAACAACTATATATGAATGTCTTTTTGGTTCTTTTAATAGTGGGACACAGAGGACAATCCCCTCAATAGCTGAATATAAAGAAATATCACCTCAAGCTTCAATGGTGATATTCACAATGGTCAAATATGGAAGATTCCATTCTGCACCCTACAATGGATGTCTCTGCATTTGCAGAGCGGCAGAGGTAGAAGACCTAGCTCACATCCTACTTGATTGTTGCCTGTATAAGAGGGTGAGATACAGGTACCTCTGTCTATAAACCAAATAAATGACCGATTGGGATCCCCATATCAAAACTATTACCTTATCTGCGGCCATAATCTGAAAATAACATTTAACACAGCACAGTACTTAAGCAAAATGGTTTGGTTGAGATCGCCATATATGGGACAGATAAGGGTGGATTGTAGGGGTGACACCAAAATATAATTTTATCATATTTTATTTATCTATATATTAAATTATTGTATTTTATCCAATTCCATTTTAAATTGTTTTTATCAGATTTTATTAATAATTTGTCTGGACCTCTGCACTTTGATATGACCCAAGGGCTAATTAATAAAGTATATTACTCAAGCCTCAGGGAAGGGAGGGAATGGGGAGAGAGAGAGAGGGAGGGAGGGAGGGAGAGAGAGAAAGAGAAAGAGAGAGAGGGCACTAACTCAGAAAATTCCATCTTCCTGCTTTTCAACCTCAACCATAAACCTGTGAGGTAGAATGGGCTAAAATGTTATCAGTATATTCTGTTTCCTTCTTAGGCCTAATCTTTTGGTGAAGTCTATTTTTACTACCCGAATTTCAAATTTATGAGTCGTCTGTTGTCTCCAAAAATATTTCTTTCACTTCAGAAATTCTCTCAGTCAAGATGATAGGTGTGTATGTTAGTAATAATAATCGTGCTCATAAATGAAAATTTAAGAGGCCACATCAATATACTCTGATGCAGATTATGATTAGAAACGCAGTGGGTTAGGGTTAGGGTAAGCACTATTGATTAACAATTTCAGAATGCCTATGAAACATGGTATTCTAAAACAGCTATACCTGTTGCATCCCAAATGTATCTTGCTTCAAATCCTACTGCTCTACAACAAAGTGTAAAACAATTGGCCCATTCACCACAACGTCCTTGTCTAGTTTCCAATAGCTTCTCAGGATTGTTGTATCTGGAAACATAATTTTTTAAATATAAAGTTTTTAGTTACTGCTATAAGAACCAAATAATTCAAATATCTTAAAAGTTTCCCCATAACTATTGATATCAGTAACTATAAATTTTACAATAGGTCCAATGTTATAATATTGAAATTTGTCTTTTGGATTATTACATCCAAGAGTTCTTTCAGTCAGTCACCATGGTACTTTAATTTCTTATTTTTTTCTTCTATCGCTATTTCCTTTGTGTGATGTGGAGTCCAAAACAAAGCACTTTATGACTTAAATAAACATACTCTCTTATTTCAAATCTTTAAGCTAGCAATTATTATCCAATAATTAATTCCAGATGTATAAAATCCTACTACATGATTCCTGATTAAAATGAAACCTGCTAAACTAGAGTGATATTTTAATGTTTTAAATTTATTGATAGCACTGTTGCTCAACTCCAAATCTTGAAACAATAAAATGGGCGTTGGTATAATTACCTGAGAATGCCCTTTCTATCTATGCTGCAAGAGAGTCCAGGAATGGGTTAAACTCCTCCTTCTGATGTCATAGAGCTGAGTCTGCCACTATAAAAAGCCAGCCTCTGGCTGGCCTGCCCATCTTTTAGGCGAGACATATAACCAGACGTATAAGGTAGAGCTGGACTCTCTTGCAGCGTAGATAGAAAGGGCGTTCTCAGGTAATTATACCAACACCCATTCTCCTATACACTGCTTCAAGAGTCCAGGAATGGGACATACCAAAGCCTGCATGTCCACGGGAGGGCCAACGTTTGGTCCAGTCACTCTGACTGAGGAACCACCTGTTGAAGTACCCTCCAACCAAACAATGCCTGGACTGAAGCAAATGAATCCAGGTGATAATGCCGTATAAATGGTAACAGTGAAGCCCAGGTAGCCACTCTGCAGATCCCCTCCAGCAACGACTAAGTAGACCAGGCAGCCGAAGTAGCCCCACTCCTAATGGAGTGGGCTGGGAACTGGCATGGATAAAGTTTGGTATGCCTTGGATATACAAGCTCTAATCCACCTACCAATTGTTGATGCAGTCACCCTGTTCCCCAGGGTAGAAGGATGGAACGACACAAACATGGCTTCAGATTTTCGAAAGGCCATTGTCCGTCTGATGTAAATCCGAAGGGCCTGCCTCACATCCAACGTATGCCACCTGTGTTCCAATTTGTGTTGTGGTCTGCGGCAAAAGTCTGGCAACACAACATCTTGCGCCTGGTGAAACCACGTGTTTATCTTAGGGACAAACATGGGGTCTAACCTAAGAACTACCCTGTTCTGTTGGAAAAGACACAGGTCCTATCGGAGCAAGAGTGCTGCTAATTAGGACACTCTCCTGGCTGAGGTAAAGGCCACTAAAGATTGTACCCTGAGGGACAGCATTTGTAGAGATACAGATCTGAGGGGCTCAAAAGGGGGCTTCGTTAGAGCTTGTAACACTTTACGTAAATCCCAAGTGGGAAACCTATGTACAACAGGAGGTTGAGGGTTAGATGCCCCCATTAGGAACCTGCGCACCGACGGGTGATGGGACCAAGAAGCATATCCCTCCCAGGATAGAACAGGGGAGAGAGCCGCTACCTGGTGGCGAAGCGTGTTAGGGGCAAGTCCTTTGTCTAAGCTCTCTTGTAGGAATATTAGAACCTCTGCCATAGAAGCAGAAGAGGGGTCTCTGGCCAAAGGCATGCACCAGGAGCAGAATACAATTCTAAAATGGCCGCCAAGCTCCTTAGGCTCTTACCAGGCCCCAAGCAATCGAATTAAGCTGGAACAGCTGAGAAGCGGCAGGAAAAAAATTCTGGAGTCAGCTGTAAAACGGTTTAGCTGGCGGCAGCAACGAGATTGCAATCAGTGCAGCTGCATGGGAGGTTCCTCCAAATGTTCGCAGTCATTCGCAGCAGGGTCAAAGTCCACAGTCCTTGCGCAGCAGGGCTGAAGCCTCGGTGCTGCAGGAGAGCAGATCTCCACTCTCCTGGAGACAGAGCTCTATCGAATCCCCGGGAGTTGGATTTTAAATTTACTGCTGTCTCTTTGAGTTCAAACTTTTCCTTTAGCTGTTTAAAAGCACTTCTTCCAGAGACTATGCTCTCAGACAAGAAGCTGAACCAAAAGATAGGCGGGCCAGCCAGAGGCTGGCTTTTTATAGTGGTAGACTCAGCTCTATGACATCAGAAGGAGGAACTTAACCCATTCCTGGACTCTTGAAGCAGTGTATAGAAGAATCTGAAAGATTTGGGGTGTACACGGTGCCTTGTAACACAAGCGGTGGTGGACAAACTTGAGCTACGGGTTTTTCAGTTGAGCATTCCAATTAGGTTCAAACAGGTTGATGGTTCTGTATTAGGGGGGGATAACAGCCACTCATAGGATGGATGTGGTGAAAATGGGGGATCACTGGGAACTAATATTGTTTGTAGTGATATTCTACTCTATATGATAGCAAAGAACCAGCAAATTGTGCTAGCCAATGGTTGTTGTAACCTTGCATTATATATGGAATTTCCAACTATGCAGACTGAAATACAAATGAGATGCATATATTAAATTAATAATGTCTAATACAAATTATTTACAATTATTAAAGACAATTTGCTAAACTCACCTTGGGAACCTGTTGCTGAACTGGCATTGGTTACAGAAGTGATTTTCAACTCTACTTGCATCCCATCTCAGGTCATCTTCATTAGGTGACAAATTATCTTTAGTTTCTGTCTGTCTCCCACATTTGCTACATGGTAAGCTGTCTACCCACTTGAAAAAACTACATTTAAACCAATTCATTAACTCCATCAGAAGAATATCCTCTTCTCTCAGAATGCAATCTACACATTTAAAAAAGAATTAAAATAAAGCAGGAGTCCAAGTTATCAAATTGGCATAACCATTTCAGGAATTACACAAAACTGAAAGGAAAATAATTTTGAAGGAGCACCAAGAAATAGTAACACTATTTCAAATGCAGTATAACTTATATATTCTTATATTTTAGGGAGATATTAATTGGGTGTTTGAAGCTAAGACACAGTTGGCTTGTTCCTTATTGACTTACTGAATATTTTTTAAAAAATGCAGTAGCTTTAAAGGTTTGGGTACTGAAATTGTTCATAAATTCAGAGACAGTAAATTGGAAATATTAGCATTCTATACATAAATATCAGGACATCTCCACTGCCATAACCAACATAGAATCAATAGGATGACGAATCTTGAATACTTACATTCAAGTTTTCAATTTAGAATTTCAACCAAATCTTCCTTAAGTTGCCCTTTTTCTGCCTTGAGATGCAACATTATGGCACTGAAGGTACTGAGTGAAGGTATTGAGTGAAAAAAAACTACTTCAAGTATAACTTATTAGAATTATTTGTAAGTGAATTAAAAATATTTGCTGCACTAGATAAATATAAATCAGGGACAAAAATGACCACCTTTAATAGAATCATGGCAAGAGTAATGCAGATAACTGCACAATCCTCTAAAACATCTTTGTATCAGATAGCACGAACATAAGAGCTACAATTCTTACACCTATATAAAAATACATAATTTTATCATTTCTAAAGCTATTCCAAAACACATTTCCTGTGATAATTTTGTTTGTTAACATATGAATGCATTTATATAGTAATGTTTTGTTTGATACTGTTAAACTATTCAGATATTACCTCTGTCCAGTTTTTGGGCTTGTGATAACTTTTTCTGAGCTTGCTTTTTCAGATTTTGGAGTGGAATACAAGCCAAGGCTTTCTGTTGTAAAATTGGGTTTTCATATGCCATTACATGCAGAAAATTTGATTGAAGTGTCTTCAAAAAAATTGATTCGGTTGTCTAAAACAAGGGGCAAAAAATCTTCTCATTTCAATTGTCTTAAACAGAATTTCTAGGAACTTCAGATAAATTTATTCTTCTACATAAACATTCTTATATCTGATGACCCTCCAGATATATTCTAACAACACAGGTTTCAAGATATTCAGGGATATTGGAAGTTATGGTCCTAATATATTTGGGGAACAATGGTTTTAAAAAGGCTGTTTGAAATATGTCAAAAAGGATGTTTGAACTAGTATGAGAGGTTTACAGGAAGTAAAACAAGTTTAAACAGCTGTTCAAAATCAGTATGTAATGTAAAATACCTGGGTGTGCTTTATTTTTAAACATGGCATGCCTTAGGAATAGAAGGAATATCAGCAACCATTACAAGTTTATAACATCAGATTCTAGGGAAGAATATAGAAGAATTGCAGGGACCTTGGTAGAGCTCAGATGTTTCATAACCAAACCAGGCAACATTATCAGTGTTAGTAGGCAGTGTGGTTTGCTCTCATTTTATATACTAGTGGCTTGCCCTGTCAGTGTTGGTGAGAGTGGTTTTGACGGTTCCTTGATTAGAATGTTCTCTAGCATTAGTTTGTTGGCCTCAGATGGTATTACTAGTTTAATAATGAAATACCAGTTCACCACTGAGCTACAAATATTCTTTTCTAGATGAATTAAGCAGAATATACCTAGATATGAAGTTAATAAACTAGTTTCTAGTGCAAATAAACAATCACAAGCAATTATGAGATGATTGGAATAAATCCTTAAGGAAATCATATTATATCCTTAAAGACTAAATTTATGCAATATATAATTTTAAAGATTTTATATAAGCACAGAAAATATTTCTAGGAATTGACATATGAATTACATTTCCATTTCACACTGTGATTTAAGTCAATTTACACTCCTAATTTCAAATATTATTGTTTAATGTAACAGACTTTAAAATAGGTTACCATGACAGCAGACTGAGTATTTGTGTCTAATTGGGTATCAGTAGTAGGCTCTGTATTTCTTATCTTTCCAGAGGATTTCATTTGATCTGATCCATTTATTCAGCTAGTTTTTCCCCCAGCAATTATATTTCAAATAGCTGCTCAATTGATGCCTCCTTAAGAAAAGTAAGATGAGTTTCCCCCTGAAATTACAATTACAAAAGTGAAATCATCTATATTAAAAATCATTTTGTTCTGAATTATACCATCTCTTCTAGCCTGGTAAAATAAATGCATAACTAAAAAATACTCCTGTCAACTATAGCAATCTTAATAATGGTAATTGCGATCGGAATTCCATTTCCACTTTCATTAAACGAGTAAAACTCATGAGACCACATCACTTAGTGATGGCAATCCTAGCAATCATTGTTGCCATCTTTAAGCAAGAATCAATAGTTAAGCAAGGGTTTCATGTAACTGTTACTTGTGACCAGCTTCCAACAAGCAAAATCAATTGGGAAGTTAGCAGAAAATCTTAAGTCCAAGGTGGTTCACAAACACGCTGCCATGACTAGTTTGTGTGCGTATATACTAATTATAATATAAATTATAATACAATCAAGAATGGTTGGATATGGCATAGATGTTTTTCACTAGAAGAACATATATTAGTATAACATATAATTTTTTAAAAAATGGTCAAGTTTTCCTTAGCACATGAAGCCCGAATAATAGGTTAAATATTTTCACTGTAGAGGGTGAGAATAAGAAGATATTTCAAAAGGATCATATAAAATTCTTCTACATAACAATTTCAAGATACTTACCACTACAAACCTCATTTCAAACAGGCATTCAATAACTCCTCTGACAGCCAACAATGTACTAAAAAATGCTTCATCTCCAATCCAAAGAGATCAATATTTTTTTGAGGGTCTGATTAGAATGAAAACTATTTAAACAAAATATTTTTTAAAGATATGCTTGCATTTTGAAGCCAAGAACGTGCTCTCATATTTCACGAATGAACTATGGCTGTTTGCTGACCCCATGAACCCTACCATGACTATTTTGAGTTTCATGAATATGTTCTCTGGTTTCATAATTCTGAGATAATATTATTTGCATAGTAAATCAAGTCTGTAAAACAATTCAATTAAATTCAATTAAACAATTAGACAATTAAACAATTAAATTAAATTAAATTAAATTAATTAAATTAATTTATTGCTTATATTCACAGCTAACCTGCATGATAAATCAGTATTTTTTTAGGGAACATAGCTGGGCTAAACACATTATTTTACCATATTTTGCAATTATTCCCTGTATTTCTTCTTCTGAGTGTTTTTAGATAAAGAAACTCTGCAAGGAGACTCTGGAGCAGCACTTCAAAGAAACCAAGTCATCCATTTAGCTAGAGGTAAGGAGGTGCTATCACACTATTGTGGAAAAACAGCCATTTTAGAATTTATTTTTTAAGTGGACAATAAGTTATCCCTTTCACTTCTTAGACATTTTATTAGCTTATTACATTTACTAAGCTAAAAGAGATTCCTTTCAGTCCCAGCCTATTACTGCTTTTTGAAGATCTTCCCCATTTGGGGGACATTGTTATTGTTGAGCAATGCGAAGGAAGGCTAAAAAGAGATGAACTAAAGTAAGGACGTATGGGGTATATTTTCTCTTTTTAATTTTGATGGAAAATCATAAGGATTTAAAAGGTGTTTTTATTTTGTAATTTTCATGAATTGCCCACCTGTATTTGATGTTGGAAGTTATAATTTTCAATTTTGGATTGTTCTAGGAGGCAGAAATAACCTGATTTTTGTGAATTCTGATTGTCCAGGAGATAACTAACTGGTCTACAGAAATATTTTTGTTGTTTGTTTGATCACAAAAGGGAATTTTTACTATCTTTTTATTTGTAACTAGTTGTCTGCTGATCTATTTTATAACCTCTTGCTGGAGTTTTACAACTCTTTTTTATTATTTCATTGTTTACTATTAAATTCCAACCCACTTTCCTTTTTGCTGTAAGGAACTCTGTGATGAAAATACATTTTCTGGCAGTGAAAGTCATCCGATTGGACTTATACAGAATTATACTGCAAATGTTCTTTCTAACATTTTTAAAAAAAGAACTTTGATTTTTATTTTTTAACTTTGATGGAAAAATTTTCTTTTTAATCATTTTTTATTTTGGGAAAAAACTTTATCTCAACTTTTCTCTATGATCATTAAGTTATAATTCTCTTGTCCCTGGAAAGAATAGTGTGTTTTTCAAAATGTCTCTAAAAGGAAATTTTCTGGAAAGCATTTGAAAAAAGAATGCTCTCCAACCTACAGGTTTTATTTGAAAATATAAATAAAAAATTGTGATGGGTCAACAGTGACTTTGAACAAATTCTAGGAGGATATCAAAAAGTAGGAAATAACAGTTGGATTTAATTTGCAACTTGAATTTGAATACCATCTGTTGCTGCCAAATGTGAAGAGGAAAGTATTTGGTTCGAAAAGTAATATGTATACAAGAAATTCTGAGATAATGAATGAAGCATCGTTTGGATTTTCTTGGCAAGATTCATGTTGTGTTTTTAAGGAGAATTTTTCAACAATGGATGCTGCAGAGATATTCACAACAAAGACTTATGAACTTCAGAAATGGGATGCAAATTTTTGGGAAAATTCTCAATTAAATTCCTTTCCCAAGGAAAGGTTTTATTATTAAGACTCAAATGAGGGTATTTGATCCTGGACAGATCAGAGATGACGACTGGGGTATTTGAGTAAATAAGAAACCATTGTAGATGAGGTGGAGCCAGCTGTCTAGGAGAGAAGACGTGCAAGCAGATCTCTCTATGAAGCATGATCTTTTAAACTTCACTTTGCGGGACCTTTCAGGGGTCAAAAGAAGGCTCATAAGGTTTCCGAAGGTGTAGGGGTGCCGAAGAACCTACACAGGTAGCAGTTCATGCGGGGAAGCGGAGAGAACCTGGATTGAGCAGGCGAAGGAAGGACAATCGGCAGGTCATCCATAGAAGACAGCTGGTCATACTATCAGTGAATTAGCATAACGAAGGTGCATACAAAATGGACAGCCTTAATAACTTTAAAGTGAGTAAAACAAAAAGGGCACTGAAAGCGATCGATATAGAGAAAAACCGGCATTAAGAGTCAGCCCTAGTTAAGAATGGAGGGAGCGGCGAATGTTATGGCGGGCAAAGAGATTGGAAGATAGGAAAACCATTAAAAAAAAAATCTGGCGAACAGAAGGGAGAAGATCAGTGCATACAGCTGTAAAAGAAAAAATGATCAGATTGGTGTCTGGAATTAATGTAAGCAGAAAAGTTTGGATTATACTTGCAGAAGCGTGACTTTTGAAAGTGTCCAGTGTTGATTTGAGAGAGATCTGTGGGATTACAAAATAAAAATGGAGGATATTTGAATGCTTTGAACTAAATGGATTTGACTTAAAAACCTGAGAGAGAATTGATAATTTTGATCAAATATCGTGAAATTGGATTTTGGACTTTGTCTCTCTATATCTTTTTGAACTGTTCTGAACTTTTTCAGAAAAAGAAACTTGGAATAAATTAAAATGGACGGTACAAAGAAAATGACTCTGCAGTTTTGAAGTTGACAAAGAGACATTGTAACGCTTCGTGAGAGACATCTGTTGGCCACTGAACGGAAGAGAAACTATAATAAGGAGAAAAAAAGGGATAGTTGGTTTCTTTTCCCTCTACGTTAACACTTCTGCCTTTTGGCTTCCTTTGTTGATTCTCAAATTACAGCACATATAGGTAAATGTAAGATTCTGCTGGTCTCTGCATATACTGAATAATACAGATTGATATAAATCATATATTATATACTTGGCAGTTAAATTGACTAGTTAAAGCATAAGAGAAAATATTTATTATACATATCTTGATATATTGGTATATTATATAGTATGTTATAGATTAATTAGATATATATTTATTATCCTTAAGGTTTGACTAAGTGGGATTACTTTAAGTAATAATTTGTTAAAATTAATTACTATATATGGATTGTTGTTATTGTGTATATAATTTAGCATACTATTGAATACTGGGTATTAGATTGGATTTATTGTTTAAATTGGCCTTAATATTTATATAAGCATTCGGATAATTGATAGAGTTGATAGTGGTTATAGAACTGATATAAGGGAAGGGGAGTCCAGTATTGTAGTGTGATGTGTTAAAGTTAGAAATTACAGAATTGGAGGGACTTGAAAGAGAAGGAAAAAATTGGAAGAGGTGGTGGAAAAATAATATGATAACAAAGATATTTAGTATGACAAGTAATACAAATATACCTAAACCAGGAGTTGGAAAAAAAATACCCACCCAAGCATTGACAAGGGCTTCAACGGCAAGTCCCTCCACACAGAGAGCTATAGACAAAATGTTACCAAGGGAGAGATCGAACTCAATAAAAAATCTACAAGGATTAATGTTGGATATGCAGGAAATGCTATCCAAAAATCATGAAGACTTGAAAACAGAGACAGGATCAGTAAGATCTGAGTTAAAAGAAAAAATCGAAATTATAGATGAAAAATTTGAATGCTACCAACAAGAGATGTGGAAAAACAAGAAAAAATAGTGGAAATAGAATTTAGAATGGATAAAGAGAAGAAAAAGGTAGGTATCAACTGATAAGTTGATACAAGCAAATAAAGATCTGGAATCTACGGTAATCCTTCTGGAAGCAGAAAAAGCAGACCATTACCCGAGGTTCCAAAATACTAAGAAGGAAAAATAGGAAGATTTGCTGGATGTAATGGGTGAGATAATTGAGAAAATAGTAAGAACTGAAAAATAAGAAATTGTGATGGAAATAGATGAGACGTACAGAGTACAGATGAATTATACAAGAAGGCATAATCTTCCTAGAGAAGTTCATGTCCAATTGATTAAGTCGACTCATGATGAAATATTGCACAGAACGAGAGAGAAGCCAGTAGAACATAGTGGAAAGCAGATAACTGTCCTTAAACAGGTGCCGAGAAGAGTAAGGGACTTAAGAAGACCTTACCACTTTCTGACAATGAAACTTATAAAATATAATATCAGTTTTAGTTGGTTGATGCCGGAAGGAACTATGGTCAATTGGCAGGAGAAGAGATATCAACTAAACACAATTGACAAAGCGGAAGTTTTTTAGGACCAACAATTTGCTAATGAAGGAGAGACAGTAGTGGAAGAAGTGGAAGGAAGGAAAGACTCGGCAGAGGAAAGAGGAGCAGAGGCAGCAAACAAGGATGAAAACTCACCAGATAATAAGGAGAAAAGATATGGAAGAAGAAAGGCAGAAATATATGAAAGACAATATGCAGAATCTAGGGAAATGAGAGCAACAAGAAGTACAAGACAAAGAAATTGATAAAAAGAGAGAGAAATGTGAGGTAATTTCAATGAACATTAATGGCTTAAACTCTCCAGTGAAAAGGAAGAAAATATTTCATAACCTACAAAAATTGAATGCGGATGTAATAGCCATACAAGAGGTGCATATAAAAGAGAAACAAAAATACCTGCTACATAACAGAAAATTAGGAAATGCTTTTATGTCATTAGATAAGCAAAAGAAAAGAGGGATGGTGTTATACATAAAAGATTGGGTCTTTTTTAAAAGATTGGAAATTTTTAAAGATAAAGATGGTAGGATATTGATGGTAGAGATAGAATTTGAGAATAAAAAGATTTTTTTTGATAGAAATTTATGCTCCAAATGGTCCACAAGAACACTTCTTTCAAAAATTGTATAATAATATTAAGGAAATACATTATGAAGAGATTTGTATCTTAGGTGATTTTAATGCAATTATAGATAAAACAATGGACTATCAAGCTGAAAATAAGAAAATAATAAGGAAAAAGGTATTAATGAAAATTTTTCATGATTTGGCAAAAGAAGCTAAGATTTATGATGCATGGAGAGAACACCATCCAAGTAAGAAACAATTTATGTTTTATTCTTTTTTAAAAAAATAAATTTTATTAATTTTTCAAATTTTAAAAAACAAAAAACTTTATACATTGTTATCAACATCAAGACATCTTTTCTATCTCCTTACATTTTTCAGTATATGTATTTACATATTCCTTTACCATTACATCTTACTCTTGCTATAAATCAATATCCTTTATCAATCTTCTCTATGGTATATTTACATATTTACATATTCCCTCATTCTTTTCCTAATTGCCATTTTCTTTTCTTTTTATTTCTAAACCACTCATACCAGGCATCCCAGACCCTATAGTAAATTGAAACTTCTGTCTTTTATTTTCATCGTTAGCTTGTCCATCTCTATACAATCTATTATTTTTTTTATAACCATGCCTTCTGATGGAACTCCTTTTTCTTTCCAGAGTTGTACGTATGAAATCCTTGCGGCTGCTAATATGTGTAACATGACATATCTATCTGTTTTATTGCATTTTTGTGTTATTATACCTAATAAAAAAGTTTCCGGATTAAATTCCATTTTCTGATTCATGATTTCTTCTAGCCATTGTCTAATTGTATTCCAATATTTTTTCACTTCCTGGCATGTCCACCAGATATGAAAATAAGTGCCTTTTTTCCCCCACATTTCCAACAGTTTGGGTCTGAGTTAAACATTTTTGCCAGTCTAGCGGGAGGAGGGTGCCATCTGTAGAACATTTTATATTGATTTTCCCTGTATACTGTAGATGTAATTAATTTATAATTTAATCCCCACATTCTCTCCCAATTTTCCAGGTCTATATTATAGCCAACGTTTTTCACCCATACCACCAACCTCTCTTTGACCACCTCCTCTTCCATTTTAAAATCTAGTAGAAAGTTATATATTCTTGAGATCATTTTCTTTTCTATTTCTTGTAGAATTTTATATAACTGATGCTTTTCCATGCAGAAACCAAATTGTTCTTTGTCTTTGTTGAGGTAATTCCCCATTAGGAGAATGAGCGCATACAGGGACGTAGTGAGAGTAGTGAAAAATAACACACACACAGCACACAGATACACTGTACAGTAAATGTAGGTTTTTTACTTCCAATAAACATTTAAGCACAGTCCAAGATAAGCAGTCCAAGTCATTCACAGATAAAGCAGTCAGTGTTCAGTTTGGGGATAATCCAAATATCAAAGTCCAGTATCAAAAAAAAAACAGTTCAGTAATAGACTTATATCAACGATCAGTAACAGTCATTTAGGAGGAATGGCAACACTCTCCAACAGAAGGAACAGATACTCACTCACTCTCTCTTCTGAGACAACCCAGATTTCTGGCTTCATCTTATGGCCATTTGCGGAACCGCACCCAATTAGTTTTAACATTCTCTTAAAGACATAGTATTAAAATGTCTATCCTAGTTTATATATTTCCAACCCAAATAACTGTTAGGTGACTTACATTCCTAACAGTCCTTTTTGTATCTCGCCTGATTTTGCATGTATGGCCACCAATCTATCTTTATATTTTGTTGCTATAATTTTTGTCTCGTTTTTAATCTTCCTTATGTGTCTAATAAGTCTTTATAAGTCTTCTTTTTCCCCAGATGCATTGCATTTGGGTAGATTTGTGCTTCCATAGTTGAAAACCAGTCCGGTATTTTAATATAATGGTTCTTTTTAATCTTGTTCCATGTCCGAATTAATGTCTCTGAAAATATGCTTGCTGTTTACATTTCCCATCCCACAGAAAACTATGCCACTCTCTCTGCATGTCATGACCCTCTATCAACAATACTCTTCTATTTTCCAGGTTGATCCAATCTTTAATCCATACTATAGCCACAGCCTGGTAATACATTTCCCAGTCAGGGAGTCCAAAGCTGCCCCTTTCTCCTTTGTCCTGTAATAGTTACATTTTTATCCTGGCTTTTTTCCCATCCCGAACAAATTTACTTATTATTCGATCTAATTCTTTAAAAAAGGTTTTATCCAATCTTATTGGTACAGTTTGAAAAAGATATAGTATTTTTGGTAAAGTAGACATTTTAATTGCCACGATTTTTCCCAGTAATGATAGTTGTAATTTTCCCATTTTGTATTATTAATTTGTCATAATTATCTTTTTTGATTGAAGAGCATCTTGCTGTTAACCAAATGCCTAATTTACCAAATTTACATTTTTTTAAAAAAATTATCAACTTAGTGAATACAAAAAATTAAAATATACAAATATACAGACTCAAAAAACAAAGATTCATACAAACATTACCATAATCTCTGTGGTAAAACTAATTAAACTTTCCTTTAATACATTTGACAGTGAGTTAAATATTTCCTAAATTATATTATGTGGAAGTTATTTCTTACTTTCTATGGGTTCTCTGTTATTTATGTTCTATCACAGATAATGTTCTGTTGCTAATATTTGTTGTTGGATTATACTTATTTATTTTTACCAATGAATTCCTTCTATTGATTGTTTAAAGTACGAGAGAGTCTAAGACTGACATTAATGATTCCTGTTTGTTATTGTATATATCGTAATCTGTTTCATAAGTTTATTTCACACACACACCCCGATTCCCCTTTTCATTTTTTTTAATGTTCTAGCCAATCATACCACTTATTCCAGGTCAAGTAAAATTCTGCCTCCTCTTTTCCTTTTAATTTTAGTGTTTTTCCATTTCTGCACATTCAATTTTTTTTTAAATAATAAACTGTATTGGTGGTATATTAGGCAATTTCCAAAATTGAGCCAGTGAGATATGTGCCACTGTTAGGATATGGATAATCAAATATTTTACTTTGGAGGGATAACCTTCCTTAATGTTACCCAAAAGATACAATCTAGGTTCCCACTCCAATCCACCCTGGACAATTTCTTCTAACCAAGTTTTGATTCTAATCGAAAAACCACTGGGCATGTCCACCAGAGATGGAAGTAGGTACCATGGTTCCCTTTGCATTTCCAACAAGTTGGATTGGATGTTGGATATATTTTTGCTAATCTGGAGGGTGCTAGATGCCATCTATATATCATTTTATATAAATCCTCTTTATAAGACACTGATTTAGTTATTGTAAGATTTCTCTGCCAGATTTCTTCCCAGTCTTCTAAGTCTATATTATGGCCGAAATTTCTTGCCCATGCTATCATTGGTCCTTCCACAATTTCCTCTGCTAATTCATATTCCAATAGATAATTATATAATTTAGATATCATATTTTTGTCTGGGCCCAAAAGTATCTTATCAAATTTAGTACTCTTTGATTCTATTCCAAATTCTTTTAAATCTTTCTCATATCTTATTGCTATTTGGAAATAGGACCAACAATCAATCATTATTTTTTGGTTTTCCAACTCTTGAGTCGATTTGAGCTTTCCTTCTTTGTCTAAAATTTGGTAATATTTGAGCTTTTTACTGATGTCCATTGTATTAGGGTGGAACATTGCCTCCATTGTTGACAACCATAACGGAACTTTAATATAATAATGATTTTTCCTAATATCAGACCAGGTTTTTATCAAAGATTTGCATAGAGTATGTCTCTGGAAGTATGAGTGACTTTTACTACTTGGGTTCCACAAAAAGGCATGCCATCCTATTTGTAAGTCATATCCTTCTAATGTTAGAATTCTTTTGTTATCCAATTTAATTCAATCCTTTATCCATATTAATATTGCTGCTTTATAATAGGTCTCCCAGGCAGGGAGACCAAAGCCGCCTCTGCTTTTATTATCTTGTAAATAAATTTTCTTAATTCTTGATTTCTTGCCTGCCCATATGAATTTCATAGTAATTTTATCCAATTCTTTGAAAAATGATTTATCCAATAACATAGGAATCGTTTGGAATAAATAAAGCAGTTTGGATAGAACATTCATTTTAATTGTGGCAATTCTGCCTAATAAAGAAATCTGCATTTTGCTCCATATCTCCAAATCCCTTCCTATTTGTTGTACTAGTTCAACATAATTGTTTTCTTTCAAAGTTATTGTTTTGGGTCTCAACCATATACCTAAATATTTAATCTTACTGACAATTTGTAGTCCCATTATTTCTTCTAGTTCTGTTTATTATTTGTTATATCTTTAACTAACATTTTTCCTTTTTAATTTTCAACCCAGCTAGTTTACAGAATTTATCAATTTCTTTTAATAAGGTTGGTCCTGACTCTATTGGATCCTCTATAATAATGACCACATCATCAGCAAATGCCTGTAGTTTATATTCTTGTCTTTTAATCTTGATACCTTTAATTTCCTCATTCATTCTAATTCTGTCCAGTAATGTTTCTAATATTGTAATAAAAAGCACATGCGATAACGGGCATCCCTGCCTGACACGCCTTTTTATTTCAAAAGGATTGGTAAATTCTCCATTTATCATTACCCTTGCTTTCTAAGTTAAATAAATTGAATCTAACATATTTGTGAAGTTATCCCCGAATTTCATCAAGTTTATCTGGCGTTTCATAAATTCCCAGTTTAGGTTGTCAAATGCCTTTTGTGCGTCCAGGAAGACAAGACCAACTTGGCTTCCTGGATGTGTTTCATAGTATTCTAATAAATCAATTATCATTCTTTTATTATTTCTTGTATTATCTGTCTCATGAAAAGAAATCCATTCTGGTCAGGGTGAATTCTTTCATTGAGAATTAGCTTCAATCTTTCCGCCATCACTCTCATAAAAATTTTGTAATCTGTGTTTAAGAGAGACATTGGTCTGTAATTTTTTACCTGGGTGGCATCTGCACCCTCTTTAGGGATCAATATAATATGGGCCTCCTTCCATGGTTCCGGGACTGTTGCCTCTAATAATACCTCATTGCAAATCTCTAGGAACAACTTTTCTAGTGATTCTCCCATCTCTTTGTATAATTTGCTTGGCAACCCATCTGGGCCTGGAGTTTTATTGCTTTTTTGGCTTTTAATCGCTTCTTTTCACTCATCTAAAGTTATCTCCTTATTTAATATCTCTCTTTTATCTTCCGTTAATGGCAGTAATGTACTTTCTTTCAAGTATTCCTCTAATTTATTTGCGTCTATTTCTTCTTGGTTATATAAATTCTCAAAATAGTCTCTTATGATTGTTTTCTTTTCCTCCAATTCTATCTCTAATATCCCATTATTATCTTGCAATTGGTATATAATTCTTTTTTGGTTTTCTTTTTTCAGTTTATACGCTAACCATCTCCCGGGTTTGTATGCATTTTCAAAGTAATTTTGTTTTGTGTATAGCATTGTCTTAATTAAATCTTCCTGGTCTAATATATTCAATTCATGTTTAAGTAATACCAAGTCATTTTAAATTTGTTCGTCCCCTGGGGTTTTCATTAGTCTATCTTCCAAATCTTTTAGTCTTTTTATTAAGAAGTTTTGTTTCTTCCACTTTTCTTTATTTCTGTTGGCTGTATAGGCTATCAATATAACCCTTAGGTACGCCTTCATTGTGTCCCAAAGAATTTGCAACGAGGTATCTTGTTTTTTATTGAATTTAAAAAATATCTCTAATTCTTCCTTAATTTTTTGAGTATATCCTTTTTCTTTCAATAGTTGTGGGTTAAGTGTCCACCTAGCTTTTTTATAAGTTTGTGTTTTCCAAGTTATTTGCAATGGGTTATGATATTCCCAAGTGTTGGTTAATATTTCTATATTTTTTATATCCTTAAGTAAATCATTATTCATCCATGCCATATCTAACCTTGACCAGGATTTGTGTCGATTGGAGTAGAAGGTAAACTGGGTCACTTCTGGATTCAATTTCCTCCATGCATCTACTAAATCTAGTTCCTCGGCCATGCCAAAAAAACATTTAGGCAATGTATTTTATTTTAGTTTTGATCGCTGGCGTAATCCTGTTTATTGTTAGAAATTGCATTAAAGTCGCCAATTATGCAAATCATAGGGCTGCCTAATTCTATTAATTTTGCATATAGAGTTTTATAGAAATTGTGATTTGTATTGGGGGAGTATATCCCTACTAGTAAAATCTTTTTGTTTTGTATAACCACCTCTACAATTAATATTCTTCCAATCTTGTCATTATAAATCAGTTTTGATTCTAATTCTTCTTTGATATATGCTACTCTTTTTTTCCTCTGCTAGCGATGTGTATAGTTTCCCTAACTTTTTGTTTTGTAAATATTTCTGTTCTTGTGGTTTAATATGAATCTCTTGAAGAAATATTATGTCCAATTTCAGCTTTTCAAGTTTCAAAAGTATTTTTTTCCTTTTTGATGGATTGTTTAAGCCATTAATATTTATAGAAGTCAGTGTTAGTCCTTTCCCCATTCTTTCTTATTTTAGGTGTTACCTCTCATTGGTTTTGGCTATTGTTTGACTTCTGGTTTTGACTCCTGTTTCCTTTCGGGTGGATCTTTCCCCTGTATCTTCTTTGTTTTGGTTTTCCTTCCATTCTTTAGTTCTTTGTTGTATTTCTTCTTGACTGGCATTTCCAATTCGTCTCTGCTACTTGTTTCCTCCTCTGATCCGCCCAGCTGTTCAAAGAACTCTTGTGCTTTATTTAGGTTATCAATTTTCACTGTTTTTTCATTCCAGGATGTCAGAATACCTTCCGGGGTAATCCATCTAAAAAATATATTTTTTTATTTAAATAATTAGTGAGGAATCGATAATCCTTCCTCTGTTCTCAGAGTCTTCTTGGCAGTTGTTTCAGTACTATTATTTCTTTATCTTTGTATTTTATTGTCTCTTCTCTAGAAATCTTGTAAATAATATCTCTGACTTTCCTTCTAGCAAATCTAATATGGACCTCTCGAGGGAGTCTGTGTCTCGCATAACTAGTATAGACTCTGTAGATATAATCAAATTCATTTATCATCTCATCTTTGTCTCTTTGAAGAAAATCTGCTAGAAATTTAACCATCACCGATGTTAAGAACTCCTCTCTAGTTTCCTCTACATTCTGAAATCTCAAATAATAAGAGGCTCTATCCATCTCAAGGTGGATTAAGGCCTCTAGAGTTTCCTTGTTGTGAGTCGTAATGTTATGGTTCATAAGTTCTAACTTTTTCTCATTTTGTTCAGATTGTTGTTCAATTATCTTGATTTTTTTCTTCATTTTTCTTGGTTGGATCAAGCCTATTTTTTCGTTCAGGTTTCTGATTTCAGTTTTCATTTCCCCTATTTCTGATTTCAGCTGTTTTCATTGCTTCCCGGTCTGCTTACTTTCAATGTGATTTTTGGCCATAGATTCTTGTAACATTAGCATCGCATTCTGGATTGCTAATAGGGAGGCTTGCACTGATTGGGTGCTGGTTGTGATAGTTGATTTCTTGGGGGCCAACATTCCTTCAATTATTCGTTGGGTTGAAACTGCTGGACTGGATAGTACCACCATTAACACAGGTTTTTCCCTTGTCTTAGTAGTGGTGATAGTTGTCATATCTTTTATCATCTATTATCCTATATATACTATCCCAAATTACCATCAATTCTATGATTTTTCTAATAAACAGTCTCTTAATTATTAATGAAGTTTTCCTAATCAGTATCAACCACTATTTTTCAATACAAACAGATATCAGACAATATCACCTTTGATTAACTACTCACCAACTTCCATCACAATCAGTATACACTTAATCAATTTTGAACTCTTAGCAATCTATATTAGAGGAAAAATACCTATGGTGTTGTTGTAATAAATACTATAATAATTTCATTCCATCACAATAAATCACTGGGAAAGGGGTTAAGTAGGACAATTAATTACCACCTTCCTTTTATCAAAATCAATTAGGGTTATCTAAACACATTACTATATGATATCTTCAATATTTAATTCTTAATTATACCGACACTATACGTAAAATAAGAACTGTGAGGGAACCAAAGAAAAGAATCTATATAAAAAAATAGGAACTCTAAAATAATCACCTGCTAAGTAAATCAAAAAAATAGAATTATATAAGTTATCTGATACAATATTCCTCCTATCTATAATATGACAATAAACTAATTAAATATATACCAGCATTCTTGTAGTTCAAAACAATATTTTTCCAGTTACAAGTTTGTAAGTCTCTTCATTCACAATGAAACAGTTTACCAGAGCTAAGATTTCTCAATGGCCGTCTTAAGAATTGCAGTCACTCTTCTTTCCATTTAGGTTCTTATCCGATCTTTTTTTTTTCTCCAGTTCACTTGATTTTAACACATTCATTTCAAGCTGTCAAAAGGAAATGGAACCTTCCAAAAATAACTTCTCAGCTCTCACACCACACTCCAATTTTCCATCAAGATTCCTCTTGTTTTCTTATTTTCACTATTACATTCACTATTGTCCCAGTATTAGGGATGGTAGGTTAAAACACTGCTGCTGATTTCCACTCTCCCCCATTTCACCCTGGGTTTCCTTAGTCCGCTTGATTGTTCTTTCAAATGATTGTCTATCTCAATTGTTATCCAAATGAATTGTAATCCAAATAAAGCTTCCAACCTCATGCGATCGCCACCCCTTCATCCACTGCCATCTCGCTGCTTCCTGCTAGCTAGTTTGTTGCATCTCCGGGTCTGGCCACACAAGCTGACTTCTATCGCCTCGGACTTCGGGCTCTCTTCTTCAGCGTTTCGGGATCGCAACCTCCCAAACTGTCTCCAAGTGTCTCTTCTCGCCTTGCCAATCCCTCCAGGACCTGAAACCGCCACAAACAGCTGTCCAAAGGTGAAAATCCTGGCTCAGGAGATCAGAGCAGAATGCTCCTGAACCACCACAACGCGACGTCACCAGAAGTCAATTATAATAATTTGTATTATTAATTTGTTGTAATTATCTTTTTTGATTGAAGAGCATCTTGCTGTTAACCAAATGCCTAATTTACCAAATTTACATTTTATTATAACAGACATCGGTCTTGGTCGAGACTGGTTATGGTATGGATGCCAAAGAAGCTTATCTCAGAAATAACTGAAATAGAAATTGAACCGAGCTTGTGGGCAGATCATAGCTATAT